GCTAATTCCAAGAAAATTTTTTATTTCTTCGGCTGTAACGGAACCAGTATGCAGATTGGTGAAAAGTCTGTGTCTGTGTAGAATTGTTCATCAAAACATTGATGGAAATAATCAAAAGGTTCAACCCTGCAAGATTTGTGATTGGGTTTTTTAATCAATTGTTTGTTGTTTTTTTACGTATGGCAAAAAATGATTTGGATCCCGATGTCCAGTGGACTGCACATCAAATAAATCAAATATCAAAATCAAATTTTTTTGTTTCAATGTTTTTTTAGCATTTTAGCATCACTAATAGCACAATAAAATAGGTGTCAAGTTGATTTCACTCTAACTTGCCTCTCGGGACTCAGGAGGTTAAGATAATTTTACTGTATTCATCAAAATAAGTTTTATCAAGCTTTACACTCATATGAGTTGGCTTAGGAAGTAATGCTCAAAATGACTCATTCAGCCTAATGCATGTTTAGCTCAAACCATATTCGAGTAAAATCTCAAATTAAGGTTGCTTTTTCGAAATATGAAAAGAAGTTAGGAAATTCTGTTTTTCGAAAGCCATCTTCCACAACCACTTTTTATAATCTCTAACTCATCTCCCACAGATCCTTATATAATCTATAACCAAACTCCCACAGTTCCTTATATAATCTCCAACCCATCTTCTCAGCCACTTTTGTAATCGCTATGTTGGTCCTAATGTTAGTTATATGAAAGAGATAACAAATTTAAAAAAAAAAAACATAGCTTAATGCGATGTAATTCGGAATAATGTCCAAATGAAACTAGATTTCTTTAATCAAGTCATTTCCAAAGATATACCCCCATCCCTTTAAACCATGTTAACATTTTACGCTGCGTTTCCTTTTCTTTGCATTAAAATATTAACGGAATACATTAGACAAGTGCAGTACCATACAAAATATTTCGTTCAAAGGCTTTGATTTAATGATCTTTAGGACGTTCTCTAACCTACCTGGACCACTTACGTCTGTGTGTGCAAGGCTAGAGTCTGGAGACGATGTGATACTACATGGGTTGGATGCTCCTTTTATACACCAGAAAGCACAAAGGTGGATTTGATCAGTTCATGACCAGTATAAAAAACGCATTTGTCATTTTGAAAATAATCTCTGAAATCTTGGACAGATCTATTTCTGTAGTACATGTCAACCTAAAATGGGGAGCGGGATATTAATTATGTATTTACGGGTCTTACCAAGGGTTTTTGTAACGACTGACGGGGGGAGATAACTAGATTTCATCGTTCTACCTCACACCTACTAACATCAGGGCATTGGCTTGGCGTTTGTTACGATATAGCTAGATAGTTTCACCAAGTGAGCTAGCGGATTATTGAGTTCATAATTCACAGGTAAGCTAGCGGATTATTGAGTTCATAATTCACAGGTAAGCTAGCGGATTATTGAGTTCATAATTCACAGGTAAGCTAGCGGATTATTGAGTTCATAATTCACAGGTAAGCTAGCGGATTATTGAGTTCATAATTCACAGGTAAGCTAGCGGGTTATTGAGTTCATAATTCACAGGTAAGCTAGCGGGTTATTGAGTTCATAATTCACAGGTAAGCTAGCGGGTTATTGAGTTCATAATTCACAGGTAAGCTAGCGGGTTATTGAGTTCATAATTCACAGGTAAGCTAGAGGGTTATTGAGTTCATAATTGACAGGAAAGCTAGCGGGTTATTGAGTTCATATTTCACAGGTAAGCTAGCGGATTATTGAGTTCATAATTCACAGGTAAGCTAGCGGGTTATTGAGTTCATAATTCACAGGTAAGCTAGCGGTTTATTGAGTTCATAATTCACAGGTAAGCTAGCGGATTATTGAGTTCATAATTCACAGGTAAGCTAGCGGATTATTGAGTTCATAATTGACAGGTAAGCTGGCGGGTTATTGAGTTCATAATTCACAGGTAAGCTAGCGGGTTATAATTTTTATGTGTGCCTTGTACGCTAATAGGTCTTTAGTTCATAATAATTCATTTTTTTAAAACTATGCCATACCCCATATTCCATACACCATAACCATATCCCATACACCATACTCCATAACTCATACCCCATATCCCATATCCCATACCCCATACTCCATACTCCATACCCCATACTCCATACTCCATACTCCACACCTCATATCCCATATCCCATACCCCATACTCCATAACTCATACTCCATACCCCATAACCCATACCCATTACTCCATACCCATACACAATACTCCACACTCAATAATCCATATCCCATACTTCACACTCCATAACCCATATTCGAAACCCCTTAATCCATACTCAATACACTAAACCCCATATCCTCACCCCCATGTCCTATATCCTATATCCCATATCCCATATTCCATACCCCATACACTATACCCCATATCCAATACCCAATACTCCATACCACATACCCTATACTCGATACCCCATACACTATAGCCCATATCCCATACTCCATAACCCATACACTATACCCCATATTCCATATTCCATACCCCATACACTAGAACCCATATCCCATACTCCATACCCCATACATTATACCCCATAGCCCATATTCCATACCCCATACACTATACCCCATATTCCATATTCCATAACCCATATTCCAGATCCCATACCTCATACCCACTCCCCCCAACAAAAAAAAACCCCAAAAAACAATATACCAGACTAACAAATAGACAGCTATAAAGGTGTTGTATTGTGACACATATCACCTGCCTCCGATCGCTATCAAAAATCACAATCAGCTGAAGGGGTCACAAACATTCACCTTTCGTGACAGCCAGTGGAGCATCAATGATAGTTTATTTCAGTATTTAGAACGTGGCAAGATTATTGGAAAGATCAGTCGGACACGAAATACACTAAAAGCTGAAGATTTGGGTCAATCTCTGATATCAAGGAGCGCATATTTTAAACATTTTTATGAAGGGAGCTTTTTTTAATCTGACAAAGAAATGATGGATTAGATATAATCACACTTTGTAATAATCTGTCATGATGATTAATTCTTTATCCTTGTTTTGATCAGGCTTGTTTGAAATAAATTTAAAGTTTTCAAAGTTTGTCTACTCTAGATACGGATCACTGGTTGTATAGTGGACAGATCTTACCAACTGGTTTGTCTACTCTAGATACGGATCACTGGTTGTATAGTGGACAAATCTTACCAACTGGCTTGTCTACTC